CCGCTCCTCCCGCGTTCAACCCGCGCTTCCCTCGGGGCCGGGGCAGACTGCGCGGAGCGGCCTTAAAAAATCATCAGGAAAAAAGTGAGGAAGGGGGAGATGGGCTCACCCCGGTCACCGCAACAAGAGCTAAGCGTGTGTAACGTACCTCACGGTTTTTCTCTAAACTCCCCAGCATTTTACAGTGGAAGACCCTCAGGGGGTGATGCCGTCGCAGCATTTAGGCAAGAGCAGAGCAGCCAGGCTGCTGAAACCGGAGAGCAGCCTCAGCAAGCTCGGAATGAGCAGCCTGGGAACATTTTCTGCAGCGCTGGCCGTTGCTCGACAGTCGCTCAGATGCAGCAGTGGGACGGGGATGCACAAACCTCCTCGGAGGGTCCCCCTCAGTGCAGCTCTCCACAGCAATACCCAAACTGTCACCTCCCTGGGCAGGTGGGATGGGACAGCTCTGCTTGCTGGTGACAACCACCCAGGAGCCAGCAATGGGAAGGGAAAACCAGACGACTCGTGTTGCCCCACGCTCGACAGTCGCTCAGATGCAGCAGTGGGACGGGGATGCACAAACCTCCTCGGAGGGTCCCCCTCAGTGCAGCTCTCCACAGCAATACCCAAACTGTCACCTCCCTGGGCAGGTGGGATGGGACAGCTCTGCTTGCTGGTGACAACCACCCAGGAGCCAGCAATGGGAAGGGAAAACCAGACGACTCGTGTTGCCCCACGCTATGGGCCCCGATTCTCCTCCCTCCTGGGCAGCAGGAGGGCCACAGGGGTCCTGCAGGGCCCAGCTGAGGAAAGGAATAAACAAACCTCAGCCAGACATGAGCATAACAGTATATTTAATGTCTCTCTTGGCAAAGGTAGGCCCACGTTGTGCGCATTGTGCTCAGTGCTTTCAGACAACAGCGGCTGCAAAAGATCCACTTGGGCAAGGCAGCAAAACGCCGCAGAGAACGGCAGTTCTACTTCACAAGAGAAACTTAAACCCGAGTTACATACAATCTATTCCAAGCCTGGCTGTAAAACATTCATTTCTTTTCAAAAATGCTGCTACACAGCTCTGGATGGGCACCCTGAGAGTAGGGCTGTGGTAGGAAGGGGGCAAGCCAGCCGGCACTGCAGCAGTGTGCTCCCCACAGAACTCGTGCGCCCCTCTTCTCCCGGCCCAGGCCAGCTGAGAGCGGCCATGGGTCCCCCAACAACCATGGAACAACCCGCCTTGAACGCTGCCTGCTGGAGTGCTTCTGGACATTGATGGTAAAAGGCACTAGAAGAAAACAAACGTGACTGCTGAGCAGCTAGCGAGGTGAATTTCAGGCAGTGTAAATCCCTGCTGATAGGATTCCATCGGAGCGAAATCCCGGCTGTCCCGACGGGCAGGCTCCAGCTCAGCCTCACCACGAGTCACTCGCTGCACTGAGTCACCTGGAGCTGAGCTGCTGTGGAGAATCTGAGAGCAAATCTCTCCCAGTGCATGGGAGAACAAGGTGACTAAAGATCTTTCCCACCTCCTGCTCCTCTAATACCAGCTTCAAACTGTTTTGCCAGAGCAGCATCAGAAATAAGACCTGTCCTCCTCACGCTTTGCACTAAACCAGGC